ACTCAAAAACTGTAAGGCAGCAATAAAGTCAGTACATAACAATAAGATATTAAATGAAATGATTCAGTTTGTTATAAAATTTTATTTCAAACACATCTTATCTGGTCTGTTTGCCATGTCGATTGCACGTCAGGTTCAGTTTGTTCTCCAGCTGTTTCCTTCTTACTTTGAGCCACAGTGAGTCATGTCATGTCAATCACATTCTCTCAGGTCTTGTGGTCCCTGTGCTATCTGTCATCCAAAGCACAGTTAGACTCGTGGACACTGTGTAACTGTTTTCTATGAGAGTGTCACATCTGTTCCCAGGATAAGTTTGTAAGAAGTGCATAAATAAAACTCAGCTGTCTTTCACTGCGAATGCTTTTGCTTCCTTGCAAGTAAATAAATGCGTTGAAGCTCATTACTCTGAGTGTCTCACTTTATAAGAGAATTCTTCTAACAGTACCTTAATAACTTTGGTCTCACTGTTTATCCATTTTATTTTATACTTTCACAGAACTGGCTCTTGAGCCTGTGGGCTGCTTGCTGTCTGTAGCATCATCATGACACCTGTCCAGACTGTGTTAGTGTCACTCTGGGAGCTGCTGTGTCTGTTCATCGGCAGGATTTTCATGAAATTAGTTTAAAGGAAGAACAAAACTGTTGTTCATGAAGTTCAGTGTTCTCACTGATTCATGATATCCTAATCAGTGAGTGCGTTTGTTACAGAATAATTACAGATACTGAGCCAACTGACAACAGAAACACTTTATGTGATGATGAACGTATAAAATACTATGAATTATAGCTCAGCAGTACTCTATGTGATACTCATTGAGTTACAGCAGACAAATGGATCATGAACACTGAGTGTTAGAGTGCAGTGTCATAAAACCAAACACACAAATGTGTTAAATGTAGCTGCAGAGTCAGACGTTTCCTTTCTTGCATCAATGAAGCTTTGAGTCTTCAATCCCCCCTCTTTTGTTTATCCTTGTCGTCGTTGCATACTTTGAATGCAATTACCTAATACTTAAGATTTGCATATACTGGCACTCAATGTTTTTAATCATTATTCAGCTGATTAATGTGGCTATAAACGTTTTTGTTTAACCAGCTGATCTTGATGCTGTGTGATGTAGAATCAGTCCAAAGCAACTTATGGACAGGCAGGAAGATAAGTAACAAAACATTCAAATAACTTTGAGACTGTCCCCGTGGGATGAGAATTAGAGTGTGAGAGTGCTAACTTATCAGCTAATGGTGATTATCTTTGTTTGTCATCCTCCACCCACAGACTGTACATAGACTCTGTACAAGACAGATAACCTCCATTTCTCAGTTTGTATGTCAGCACCTTTTTTTAACTACACAAAATCTCCCAAAATCTCCTTCTAACTAAAAATGGGAAATATATGCAAGCTGTATTTCATGAGCATCACTTTGATCTGTATTGTATGTCTTAAACTATGTAAAAAAATTCTGTATGAATACATTTGCTGGTTGACAGCTTTTGCAAGAGCAAGAGACTCTGGAAACCTAAAACTTGGCTGGTCTGTGGATCAGCAAAGTACAGACTGTAATCAAACTGTACTTTTACTGCTGACTGTGTTTATGAAATATATTCATTGTCTCTAGAATAAACAGCTTACAGTAGAAATATTACAGCCTGATCAGAAAGTAGAATGAACTCTGCAGTCAAAGAGTCCAGATCTCATTGTAACTCTGACTATATTTGAAATAAAGTAAACAACCTTTTTATTATGAACAGTACATGCTCAGCATGCCAAAAGAAACTCTGAAAGCATCACTGGTGATCTGCTTGTATCTGTGTTGGTATTCAAAGTCCAACATCTCCCTCTAGTGGCCACAAATAAGATAAGATAAGATAACTCTGAGGCTGCTAATGTTAGTACGCTTTGGCAGTGGGACAATTGTGGCTGACTTTAGGCACGGCGGGATGCAGGACTGGGACAGTGAAGTGTTGAAGATCTTAGTGAAGACCCCAGCCAGCTGGTCTGCACACTCTTTTAGGACCTTTGCGGTTACCCCATCTGGTCCGGTGGCCTTCCATGTGTGAGGATGGTGTGAATGTAAAATGTGAATCATAGTGTTCCAGTCAGTCATCAGTGTGTCTCTGCACAGCTGTAATTAAAATGTGTTCAGAGGGCCTCAGTGTCTGAATGGTTCCAGTTCAGCTCCATAACAGCAGCGTCCCTGGTTTGATTCCTGTGTTTCAGCTCATATCTGCCTCTCTCACTGAGGGGACGTAACTACATGGACATGGATTTGTTCATCAACCAAACTACAGATCACTGAGAGCAGAGGACATCTGATTTATTCAATGAAGTTGAATATGATGCTTGTCAAATTTAGATTATGTCACAACAGTGCACAACTTAAACTTTTTTACATGTCCAAGTCTTTGTACATAAGTTTAAAAGAACAGAATTGTGATTCATTCTTTTTTGTTTCTGAAATAAAATTGAAGTGTTACCTTAGATATATGTTTACATTATTTTATAACTTCTAATGTTAAAAAAGGAAAAAAGTGAGTCCCCCACCTCTGTGTTTGAACCAATAGAAAGCTGGTGCTCAGAGGAAGAGGGCGGGCTTTACTTGGTGTCAGTGACAGAAATGAAAAAAAGCTCAAATGAGTGAGAAGGACGATGAAGGAAACATCTGTGCTGTGTCTGCTCTGTAAGTAGAATCTCTGTGTTTGTTTGAATTCTTGTACTTTGACTGTCTGCTCTCCTGATAACTGATGATGGAGGAGAAGACATGAAAAACAAATCAGGCTGAATTCAAGTTCAAACACCACGAGGACCAACTGCAGGTCTGAACTGACTCTTTATCTTTGCTCAGGAGTCGAGGAAAACACTGTAACTTAGCAGCGTCATTAATATCAAGTTAGTGGTGAAAAAAAAACTTATATGTGTTAAGAAATGTTAAAAAACACAGAATGCAAAGCATTAGCAGATATGTTTAATAGAGCACACATAGAGGTTTGTTGCTGTTTGTGTGGAGTTGTTCTTTATGTTCAGCTCAAATCAACCTGAGTGTCGTTTCTCTTTAGTTCTGATCTCACTGCTGAGCTGCACAACAAACCAAGGTCAGTAAAAAAATGAAACATTATTATGAAGCACTGACATTGCAGACGAAAATTGTGCACAGCACTATCCCCTTTGCTGTCACTGGGTCATGCTCTTGGTGCATGCATGCCTAATGGCACAACTCATTCAGCCAAACAGGGTGTGAGTGTGGTAATGTTGCTGACATGGGCAGGGACGTGCAGAGAGGTTTAAAGGGGCGGGTGCTCAAAGTTAAAAAGGGGCACATTGAACCAGGCTGAATAACAACAACACACATTCATCAAGAATCTAATATGGGCAAAAAGGCAAAGCAAACGTAGCCGATGCTTTACCTGATGGGTACAATGTTGCTGTTGAGGGGTTGCTGTGGATAGTGCTGGAGGGCAGGGCTGTGTTGATCTGAGACTGTAGACATTAAAAAGTCCACAGGAGAGATGGTAGCTGATTAAACAAGTGTCATGAGCTCTGTAGTTCACAGAGTGTCTGACAGACAGAGACACACTAACACAGTCTGAACAGCTTTGATGATAATCAGAGGAATTTAACATCAAACCAACTCTGGGCGTGTTTGATGTCTGTCTGCTGGATGATCAGATCCTCTGTCTGTACCTCAATGTTCACTGACAACACAGAGTCTGAACAGCAGCAGGAGAAAAACTCTGAGACATTTCAAACAGGCTGCAGTTCATCAGGACGCTGCCTCTGCTGCTGTTTATGTTTTCTGTAGATCAAAAATCCAACAACAGCAACAACAAGAAGCACAGCAGACACTGACACACCGACTTTCCATCCTGATTGACCTGCAGGTAAGAAACAGATGGGAGGTGTTCAGAAAAAACAAGCATAAGAAACAAACAGGAATAGAACAGAACAGAATAGGTCTTTTTAGTCGTTGAACACGTAAAACCAAATTGTGCGTGCTCCACACCAAATGTGCTGGAATAAAATATAAATAGCTGAGAGCAGGAATAAATAGCAAACGGGAGAAACATCTATAACAACAAGATAAAGGCACATATTAGAGAACAACATAGTTGCAGCAAAGTGCTTTAAAGTAGTGCAAAGAAAAGACTTTGTCCGAATAGAGTTCATGTGTGTTTGCCTGAGTGATGATGGAGGTACTCAGACCATGGCTCAGATCGGTGATACGGGTCTGCAAGCGTGGGATGTGGAGGGACAGTGTTGGTTAACAGTGCAAATGGCCGAGAGGAAGAAGCTGTTAGTGAGTCTGGAGGTTTGGGACTTGATAGACCTGAGGGGTCAACCAGAGGGCAGCGGGTCAAACAGGTGGTGGGCGGGGAACAAAGGGTCACCTGTGGTGGTCCTGGTCTTCCTGAGACAGGAGGATCTAGTGATGATCCCCAGGGGTTTCAGAGGGCAGACAATGACTTTTTGGGCAGTGGTAATTACCCTCAGTGCAGCCTTGTTCTCAGTTGTGGCCCTGTGTAGCAAACACCCAGGCAGCAGGAGAACACACTCTCCACTGAGGAGCAGCAGAAGGCCAGCAGCAGCTTCTGGTCCAGCTTATTCTTTCTCAGGACAAAGAGCAAGTGCAGTTGCTGCTGGGCCTTGGGAGTTGGTGTCCAGGTGAGATCAGTGGAGTTATGGGTGCCCAGAAACCTGAAGGTGGTGACAGATTCCAAGAATCCATCCATTTTCTTCCACTTATCCTGGGCTGGGGTGCGGGGGCAGCAGCTTAAGCAGGAAAGCCCCGACCCAGCCACCTCCTCCAGCCTTTCCAGAAGAGCACCAATGCATTCCCACGCCAGCTGATGGATATTATCTCGCCAGCGTGTCCTATTTCTACCCTGGGGCGTCCTCCCTGTGGGACATGCCCAGAACACCTCACCCAGGAGGCCTGAAACACCTCAGTAATAAGTAAATAAAAGTTTATTTGTACAGCACCTTTCAAGATAAAAATGACACAGGCTGAGGAGTGTGATCCCCTACAGATGGTCGGTCAGACTGAGTGAGGATGCTTAGGAAGTCTGTGATCAAAGAGCAGGTGACAGAGGGGATCTGAATCCTAACATAACTCTTCCTGATCTCCATTTGGCTCAGTGCTCTGTGAAAGGTGTTGATGCCGGCATCCTCCGTGGACCTACTTGCTCTGTAAGCAAACTAGTGGGACAAGATGGCAGTTCGTATGGTAGTATGCAGTGCACAGAACTCCAGACTACTGCGCACCTTTTTTGTATATTTGATACCTTTTTCTTACATTTTCCTGCAACACACTGATCACTTTCAGTCGTTAAGAACTAATAGAAATTGCCCACCACCGGAACTTGGACTTTGGACGGACAGTATCCTACCCGAGATTGTAAAATCACCATGTGCTGTGTGGGTGAGTTTGGGAACAGACGGCACAGGGAGAGAAAATAAAAGCAGGATCATATCCAGCTGCGATAACAACATAATCACTTCCAACTTATAATCAGTAAACAGCAACCAGGAAGCAGCTTCACCTCTGATCACACACACACTCAACTCTACTCACTCACCTGGAGGATCAGCATGCAGGTAGACACTGGTGATGAGACTTAAACTTTCTCTCTGTCTCTGAACACGACAGTCGTATGTTCCAGTGTCATCAATCATCACATCCTTCAGAATCAAAGACACGTCTCCATCCTTCATCTGTCTGTCCCGTAGATCCACCCGGTTCTTAAAAGATGGATGCTGATTTTCTAGATCAAACTGCCCATTGTGCTGCAAAAGGACATGTTGTGGCTCCAGGTCAGCTCTGCTCCACTCTACAACTATGATCTTGTTGTTGCTGTTTGGAGCTCGACATGTCAGAGTCACGTCCTGTCCACACTCAGCTGTGATGGTTTTCTGGTCTGAAAGAGGAAACAACACAGGAGAAAGGTTAAAGGTCAAATTACAACGGTTCACTTCTACAGCAGCCAAACAAACAAAAACACACCAACACATCACTTTTAATTTAAACATTTGATGAGCTGGGACAACATCCTCATTTGGATTTGACAGTGGTGGATGGTTTCTCAGTTTAGGTCATGCTTCATAATAAGTGCCCAAATGCAGGACTTGTTTCTAGAAGGATGTTAGAGTCACCAGTTCAAGCAGATGTTGTTCTTTAGGATTATTTGTCACTCCTGCTTATATGTTGTAGATTGTAGCTGCTTTAATCCACAAAGAGCAGAAAAGCATCAGAAGCAGCAGCAGGTCAGCTGATCACAGCCTGAACACAAAGAAAACAAATCTACTGGAGCTCACAACACTGGTTATTATGGGACTCTTGTAGAGGACACTCTTTCCCCACACTGCACAGCTACACCTGAACTTCAGCTTCCTCCACCTAAAACTCCAAATTTGACCCTTATTATTCATAACAGTATAACTGTGCATGACAGTAGCTGTGTTTTGTATAAACACTTATACAGTGAAGCGTGCTGATAATATGAATAGTATGAAAATTGCTCTCAGGGAAATATTTTTAATATGCAGCCATTACTTCCTGTTTTATGTCAAAGTTAAATCTCACCTGCAGAGACGAACACGGCAAACATCAAAGTGAATGACGTAATTACAGCGGACATTTCCGGTGTTCTGACTCTTAGTTTGTTCTAAATGTCTCAGTCTGTCCTGAGATTAAACTCTAGGCTGAAAGAAAGCAATTGGATCAGGAACGTTTGTTAAGGAAGTTGTGTCATTGTGACGATTGGTACGCTGCACTGCGGGGTCGAGTAGAAACAAGTGCGTCACACCAGAAGAGGTGAAGTCGAAAGAAAGTTTTATTCTTTCTGTTCTTGAACCATCCTCGCAGGAAAAATCTGAACCTGCTTCATGTGTCAGTCGTCATGTATGAACACTTTTTGTCTTTGAAGCAGAAGTTTGTTTTGTCTCTGCACCGAGTTTGTTTCCCACAGCAAGTTTCGAGCTCACATCCTGCTGCACCTCTTCCTGCTGCGATTTAGGCTTCAGCTCCGAGGTCCGTGTCTGCTGAGCAGCTTATCAAACAACACCGCGACACAACTCTGACTAACCTGAGAACCAGCAGCAGCTTGCACCAGTTTACAAAACCAGTAGCCTGTAAATCACCAGTTCATCCAGTGCTGTCC